ATCACATCAGTCGTCATCGCAGGCCTGACTATATCTCTGAGACAACCAAGTCTCCAAGAATAGAAGAAACAAGGGGACAACCTGACATCTCAAAGCTGCCTGCTAATTACTCCCCAACAATTACTATTTTCTCCTTTGTCCCCATAAAAGCAGCAAACCACTTAGCCTCACTGCTGGTACCTCCCCTCTTTCTTTGGGATGCCACATCATCTCCCTATTCTCTTCCCCCCTTTCTCTCATTCTCTGTCCTTCTAAAGGATAACTTTACTTTTTATCTTAATTTTCTGTTTGAGAAATCTTTCTCCACCTGCACCATGAGCATCTACTAGGCTTTCCACAAAAACAGCACACAACCGGGATCCTTCGCATGCACAGGGGCTCACGCTCCTAGGAAGGTCTCATGCCACCAATGATCTGAGAGGGTGGGGCTTGGGCAGTGATGCCAGCGATGGGGAGCAGCTGTGGATGCAGGTGGGGCTTCACTGCTCGCTGCCTGCTGTGGGAGGGGGTGCTGGGGACCACAGATTTAGAGGATTTCTAAGGGTTTTAGTTTTATCATTATTTACATTTTCTAAAGCCACATGAGAATGGAATTCCATTCAACATGGTAGGACAAATGAGTAAAAAATAAAGCTCTGACAGACACTTCCTAGAGAACAAAGCCTTTTTTTTTGGTCCTACTCTACACACAGAGTTTTGGATCTGCTGACAATAGTATGCCTGAGAGTTGTTTACTAAAGACAAATAACCCAATAGTTTATTGGGTTACAATTTAATGCAACACATCAATAAAATTGTCTTGTTATTTAGTGTAGCAAGTTACCAACCTCTTTATGAAATCAATGACCTGGCCTGTTAAAGAGGACCTGTTGATCAAACAGGAACTTTTACTTTGCAGAATTGGATCTGGACACCAGTGTCAGAACTTTACTTCTCCTCTATAGGCACAGGTTCCCAGTATTCCAGGGAGCTTTGTAATCAAGTCATACAATTTTATAAGTATAGAACCCTGGGAGCTCTTCTGTTTACCATCTCTGTCTTCACTGTACAGCGCCTGGTACAGCATAAGTCTAAAGTCACACTTTTTGTAAGTGGTGCCGAAAGAACTGGAATATGATACAGGTGGGCCAATTCTGAGTCCTGACATTCAATCTGGACAGCAGTGTTTCTCAAAGTGGAGATGTCTGAGACTTGACATTAACACTGCATTATGAAGGTATCTCCCTTTTCCATTCCAATCCAAGTTCCCTGTTTAAATCAAGGAGAAAGCTATAGTTTTGTAGAAATTCCTTTAATCTTGCTTGCAAATATCAGGTTTGGGCTCTTCTGCCAGCACCAACATTTACCAACAATGGAAAGTTTCTTATAGCTCCATTATATTTACCATAACAAAATAAGGTCTTCCAGCTACTTGGGAGGCTGAGGCAGGAAGATCACTGAACTCAGGAGCTTAAGGTTGCAGTGAGCTATGCTGATACCACTGCACTGTAGCCCGGGTGACAGAGAAAGTTCCTGTTTAAAAAATAAAAAACCAAGGCCGGGCGCAGAGGCTCACGCCTGTAATCCTAGCACTCTGGGAGGCCGAGGCAGGCGGATTTCTGGAGGTCCGGAGTTCGAAACCAGCCTGAGCAAGAACAAGACCCCATCTCTACTATAAATAGAAAGAAATTAATTGGCCAACTAATATATATAGAAAAAATTAGCCGGGCATGGTTGTGCATGCCTGTAGTCTCAGCTACTCGGGAGGCTGAGGCAGTAGGATCACTTGAGCCCAGGAGATTGAGGTTGTTGTGAGCCAGGCTGACGCCACGGCACTCACTCTAGCTTGGGCAACAAAGCGAGACTGTCTCAAAAAAAAACAACCAAACAAAATAAAGTGTGCTTTTTAAGAGACAATGTTTATGTAAAAAAGTGAGTGTATTCAAATAAAAATATTAAGGATTATAGGCCTATAATCCTAGCAGTCTGGGAGGCCTAGCACTTCTGGAGGATCGCTCAAGGTCAGGAGTTCAGAACCAGCCTGAGCCAGAGCGAGATCCCCATCTCTACTAAAAATAGAAAGAAATTAATTGGACAACTAAAAATATATAGAAAATATTAGCGGGGCATGGTGGCCCAAGCCTGTAGTCCTAGCTACTCGGGAAGCTGAGGCAGTAGGATAGCTTGAGCCCAGGAGTTTGAGGTTGCTGTGAGCTAGGTTGATGCCACGCCACTGCACTCTAGTATGGGCAACAGAGTGAGACTCTGACTAAAAAAAAAAAAAAAAAAGTTGAGGATGTGAAAAAGTACACCATTTAGCCCTGCAGGTGCTTCCCCTTACCCCAACCATACCAGACCCAGCTGGGGCATTCATTTTACACCTTCAGCTGCTCCTTCTCATAAAGCTTAAAGACCATCAGTTGGGCTGGGGAGCCAGGTTGTGCAGCAGAGGTCCTTTGTGGCCAATGGTTGGTAAACATGGGGCCCACTTTCAAACCCAGTCATCACTGGGTGGTAAGTGAACACTTAGATTAACAGCTGAGCCTCAGTTTCCTCATCTGTATAATGGGTATCATCATGCTTAACTCCCAGAGTTCATTTAACAACTTGTTAAGCAGCTGCTTTGTACCAAGCAATGGGAATAGGGAGTTAGCAACATACAGTATCTGCACCAGAAGAGCTTAATATCAGGAAGAGAGAGACCCAACATAAAAATTTTAAGAAAAGCTAATTACAGATATTTTATGAGACAGAAAAAAAAAAAGGATGCCCTTACTTTGGAATACTCTCCGAAGAAGTAACATTTTAAGTGAGACCCAGAGGATGAAAAGGATCTCGCTATCTAAAAAATGGGGTGAAGAGCATCCCGGATAGATGGACCCCAACTTGCTAAGGCCAGTGGGTGGGAACGAGGTCAAAACTGCAAGAGCAAATAGAAGGACTTCAGCCAGGCAGGCAGTGGTCTGGAATGAAAGGGATGAGAGGGGAGATGCAAGGCGTCTTAAAGGCGCTGGATTTTGTTCTAAGAACAACGGGGCTCCACGGGGGGGGGGGGTTAATAAGGGGAGTACCATGGTCCGGTTTACCTTTTTAAAGTATTATGCTCGCTACTATTCTGTATGGAGAATGCTGTGCAGGGAGACAAAAGTCAAAGAGAAAAGGATCCTGCAGGGGCTCGGAGAGATGAAGGCGGTGGGGATGGAAGTGGGTATGGCGAGGAAGCAGCGACAGCTGCTAACTTGACTGCGCGCTCGCCTGGGGCCAGGCACAATGTGCAGCACCTTACCAGGTGCAAACTCATCTCACCCTCACAGCAGCTCTATACTACGTGCCACGACCATCCCCATTTACTAGGAAACTGAGCACAGAAAGGCTAAGAGCCTGGCAAGCAGTGCGCGCTCAACCTGCACCAGCTTTTACCAACTGCCCGGGACCCCCCACTCCCCATAAGTGGAAAAGATGGCCTGAGAACGCTAGCAGGAGGCCCCCCGCGCCCACACTCCGGGCGGCAGCCGGGTCTCTGCTACGCGGCCCCTCAGAGCCGCTATTACTGGAGGAACCCGGGGAGAAGTGGAGACTGCACCGCTTCCGTCGCGGCCCGCCTCCAGCCCTGCCCGACACGCAGAAACCTGCCGGACCCCAGCGGCCCGCGCACCGCGACCCGGCCAGGAGCAGGTTCGCGGGCCCGGCGGCAGCCACAGAGAAACAGCGCCAGGCCCGCAGCCGGCGACACGTACCTCAGGCACTCACAGTCCCCGAAGCCCGCTTCTCGGAGCTGCCGCGCATGCGCACAGTTCAAACCCTCCAGGCCGCGGCGCGCGCTTCGCAGCCCTGCCCCTTCCCCTTCCGGGAAGCCCGCCTCCGGGTCCTAAAGACCGCCGGATCCAGAGGTGCTAATCGGTGCTTCCCCAGGAGGGGGCGGAGGGGACGCTGCCTTCCCTGGCTGGCTTCAGGCTCACGTCCTGGCGACTTCTTAACAAAAAAGAGAGAGAAATAGAAAGTCGTTGCCTAACTTACTCAGTTAATTAGCAAAAACGCAACCTCATTGTGGGGATTCTCGTACACTTCGGGCTGCCAGGGCTCGAAGCAGGAGTGTTTGAAAGTCGGAGGAAGGACGAGGTGAGGCTAAAGGCAGTTGCGGACTGGGAGACCTGTGTCCTGGGAGGAGTGGGCTCTCCTGGGGCGCAGGCTTTAAAACCTGCTGTGAAATAAAAAGTTAAATGAGTTTCCATCAGACTCAGAGCCTTGAATGTCTGTTTCTTCTTTGAAACACTTGTGTTTTTTCTAATCTCACTGATTTGCCAAGAGGAGTCTGAGATAAACTTCCGAAAAACGGAAATCTCCTCTTATTCCTTGGCCTTTAATAAGGATGTTTGCTGCAGAGTCTGGTCTCGATTCTGTTTACACTAATTTATTCTTGGAGTCTCTTTCAAACCAGGCATCTCTCCTAGAGGATTGAATGAAATAAATTTCTGTAAACGTCCTAATGGCTCATTTCGTTCGTTTGTTGAAGGTCTACTTTGTGCCAGGCACAACGCTAGTTGTTGGGGTTATTCGGGGGACAAAACAGACGAAGTAGCTGCCTTCAAAGAGCTCAACCCCGATGACTTGCTGATCTGAGCGTGAATCCTGTACTTGGCTCGTTTTACTTGGTTCTTTTTATGCTTTGTTCACACTCTTTGCGTCTCCTGTAATACTTAGCATAGTGCCATAGAGCGAAATAATCAAAAGTAATATACTGCAAGGTGAGTGGAGAGAATGAAAATTGCCACATGGAACCAGCACCCATATGCGCTGGATACCCAGCTGCGCTCAAAGAGTTAAGGGGACCGGGAAGGGGGGGAGCCAAGTGCTGGAGGCGGGCCTGGGAGTCTCCCCGCCCCCAGGCTGTTCCAAGGAAACGGTATTAAACAAAAGTCTCTGGCCAATAGCACTGCGGATTTAACGTGAATGGCTCGCAAGCCGTCCAATGGCAGGAGACGCTGGAGTTGCTCGGCGAAGTTCAGCTTCCTGAGCCGCGGTGGGCGTGGACGCGGCAGGTTGCAAGCGGGTTCTGGCAGCTGAGGTGGCTGGTTCGGCAGCTCCGGCTTAGTTGTGACAGTTGTGATGTTTTTCTCCGAGGCCGGGGCCAGACCGCGGACGTGCGAAGCCAGCCCCTCGGAACACAGGAAGTGGGTGGAAGTAGGTGTCCAGAGGGCGACTCTGAGTCTCGGACTTCAACTTGGTCCGGGGCTCTCACTTTGTCACCGCGCTTGGGTTTCTCTCAGCCCCATTGTACCAACGAGACCTGAAGGGTCCCTTCCAAAGGGCTAATGACTGAGCCTAGAGCTGCAAGGCTCCTGGCTGCCGGTCCAGTGTTCTGTCTAATTCCAAGCTCCTCTTCTTTCCCCGCCACGTAGTCTATTAGTAATAACCTCCAATCCGCGTCTCTCCTCCCGCCTTTCATAGCCTGCCCCTTTGTCTCACCTTCCTAATTACAAGATTGAATTTTGGGTAGAACTTATCCCAGTGGTTTAAAGTAATTAATTTGCGTTAGGCTAGAGATTAAGTCGTTTGAACTTTTTTGAGGTAAATTTCAGTCCATTAAAATTTCTTGAGAATGAAAATTGGTTTAATGAATCTCCATTTTCAACCTCTACTGCTGGGTTAGTTTTAGTTTTTTGGGATCCAAGTTCAATATAAACTAGTAATAGAAATAAAAGAACAAACAGTTTCTGTCTTATTAACTAAAGATATTTAATGTTCTTTAGGTATTTAAAGCATGTGATGAAGATAACAAAGGCTATCTAAGCAGAGAGGACTTTAAAGTTGCTGTTGTAATGCTGTTTGGGTACAAGCCCTCCAAGGTAGAGCTTTGTTTATGTATTTGGGAATGGGTAGACAATACAGTAGTGAGTGAATGGATCCTAAGAGAAGTGCACAGCGCTAGCTTAAGATGATTGATAAAGCAAATCGCCGCTTTCACAGACGTGTGGGGTGCTGAATTTTACTTGCTTCCTAAGATCTCAACCCAGGGATGAATTGGAAATCTATTTCACTAGAACCCAGGAAGCCTATTTCACCAGCAGGCTGCTAATAATTAAATGAGAGACATCAGGAGGGAAGTCTGGGAGGGGGACGTTGGTAACAGGAAGAATTCACATAGGAGGTGACATGCACAGTATCTTTCTTTTAAATTTAAAATTTTTTTTTACTTTGCTTAAATTATAAAAGTAATACATTCAAATATTCAAAAAATTAAAACAGTGCAGAGGATGTAAAGTTGAACATGAAATCCACTCTCCTTGTACCACAGGGTCTCACTCACTGCCCAGGGATTACCTTTATTAACAGATTTTTGTGTATTGTTCCAAAATTTCCTATCCATGACAAACATGCATAAATGGGTGCTTAGCATGCCTACTTTAACTTGCTTTTCTGACTTTATAGGTCAACCTAAAAGCACACACCAGTACCACATTTAAAAAAAATAGTTGCGTAGTGTTCTTTTAAGCCAGTTTTCTGATTTGGGTTATTTAGTTTCATTTATTTTTTATTCCTACAAACATTGCTGCCAATGAGCATCCTTTTATATCTAAATACATATGCATGTATATTTATGTCCTTGTGGATGTGTATCTGTGGCATAAGTTCCTAGAAGTATAATTGCCAGGTCACAGGATATGTACATAGAGAATTTTGTTGGCTATTGCTCTCCAGAAAAGGTTGCATCAATTCACCACTGAGAGATGAGCTGAGCCTTAAAGAACCTCCTACTTTAGTAGGACAAATTTTCTTTTCAGCTCTGTCTTTGTACTCTTCTGCTTGCCTGTTAAATTCATTCTAGAGACAGATCCCTTCTTGTTAAGCTGCTGAACTGGAGTTAGCGTCAAGATGTTGTCCAGATTCAAGAAATTTGACAACAACCATCAAACAAGGGGAGCACTCAGGGCTCCATCTGGAATGCTCTCCCTCACTCTCATTAGACCAAACAGCTTGCCAATCAATTGTGCCCCAATTGGCCCTCATGAGTGGGCCCTACCTTTCAGTCACATTGCAAGCCCAGCAAAGACACGTACCCCGCAATGTCCCACTTTTCTCCACCCTTCGGCGTGCTTAAATGCATCACAACTTCACAGATTGTATGAACAGTCCAGGTGAATTCAGAGCAGCCCTACTACTAAGGGATGCTTAGTTACTGAGAGGCTCATTATGGAGCCAAGAGAAGTAGTCAGGGCTGGCTCTCTGAAATTGCAGTTCTTCTGCTAACATGCAATCATTTCAGCTGGAATTACAAAACAGGTCACCTGAAAAGACTCAGGCTTTGTATTTAATATAATACTCAGCATTGTATTTAACCTGAATTCACCTGGCAAGATATCTTCTCTCATTTTGCCTTTATCACCCTTGAGTCTATTTGGTTTCAATTTTAGAATTTAAGTGAGGAATTTAATGACAGTTACAGTGATGTGGTAACATACATACACGCCATGAAATTTAACAGGTTTTACTTTTCATACCGGGTTGAGGTTTTAGATTTTATTTTTTAAGCAAATGAACTATTTACTGACTGCAGGTCACTAAATAGTAAAGTATTAATACAGCAAATCACCTATGTACTTAGTCATTTGTACAACGAACTTTTATTACATAATTGGCACTTAATGTGTAGCTTCTATGAAATTTAACAGATTTTTACTTTTATACTAGGTTGATGTTTGGTGTTTAATTGTTGAATATTGCTTTTGAGCAAATATTTACTGATTGCAGGCCATGAAGCAGTAAAGCATTTACATATAAATCACTTGTACACTCATGGTGTGTTTTACACAATGAAATTTATTGTATTCCTATTTAATAAAAAGAACACTTGCTGGTTGCTAGTGATATAAAAATGAGTGAAACACAGTCCCTACTTTATTTTAAGCAGTTCACAGTTTTAGAGAGACTTCTAAAACTCGGTGATAAATACCAAGATAGAGAAGAGATTGAAGAACAGAAAGGGAAGGGGACAAAGGAGGAGACCTTAATCCTAGTAGTAACTATAATAGCAGTCTGGCTGTCATTTAGACTTGAGAAGCTGGACTACAAAGTGTCTAAGAACACTTTGCTTTGTGGGTGGTGAGGCAAGTTGTGCCTGGGTGATTGACTGGATGTGATGGTGGTAGGAGAGTGCCATGATCACAAGGGCTGAAGCAATAGTGATGTCACCAAGTAAGAGAAAATTCAGAGAGAGTAGGTTCAAAGGAAGTCAGTGAGTGTTGGGACACATTGAGTTTGAGACGGCTATGGGCAATCCAGGTGCATTCACTTATTAAATACTATGCTGGTATTGAGGTTATGGTGGTGAAACTCTCTCAGATTTTACTACCTCTGTTAGATATAAGAATCTGAAATTGGGTAAAGAGGGCAGGGCTGGAGGTAGATTTAGGACTCCTTGGTTTCTAGTTTGTAGCTCAGAACATGCCAGTGGATGGCATTGCCCAAGAAGAGCATGCAGAGTAGGAAGAACTATAGTCTGAGGATAGAACATCAGGGAATACCAACATTTAAAGGTAGGCAGGGGACTCCATAAAGAAGATGGAGTAGCATAAATTTGTCAGGGACAAGAGGAACCAGGAAAGTGCAGGGAATCCCAAATTGTGAAGCATTTAAGAGTGAAGGTGGAGAAATTATGTCCAGCACTGCCAACGTTCTATGCTATAATGTTTATAAAGCCCTTGTAACAATGTGGGAAAATGTTTATATTTTAGTATTTAGTGAAAGCACATCCTAAAATTTTATATATATTGTGTTCTCAAATATGTTTATAATGCATAAGGAAAAACCCTAGATTAGACCAAAATATTAACAGTAGTTTTCATTGGATGGCTGGTTCTTAAAATTTTCTCCTTCATAATTTTTTATATTTTTAATATTTTCTACATCAATCATATGTTTCATAATCTGGAAACAAATTTTAAATAAAGCCATAGAGCCCATTGCAACAATTGCTTGTGTTTGTCTGAAGCAGAAAGGTTACCTTTTGGATTACACTATATATGAGACAGCCAAATTGATTTTATGTACTTAAACTGTTTTGGTCAATGTTTTGGGGGCCATTAGGGGCTAGTAGATTAGCATCTGGTATCTTATATATGTTGATGGAAAAGTAAAATGACTATTATAGCTGTTGTGTGTCATTACTTGTCTGCTGGGTTCAACAAAGTTGGTTTCTCATAAAATACATTCTTTCCCCCAGCCTAGGAAGTAAGAATTTGTACTGCAAAAACATTCAGTAAGATTACATGTCCTATTATTCTTTCCTCTTTTCTAGATAGAAGTGGATTCTTTGATGTCTTCAATAAATCCAAGCACTTCTGGTAATATGAAAATGAATATGAATTTTAGTACCTTATTTAGACATTCACAAAACAAAAATTAAGAATAAGCATAAAAGCTATAAAGCATTATGTTTAAACACATCTTTTTTTTTTCCTCGTTATTCAAAAAAAATGTTTTGGTTCTTGTAATTTTGATTAACTAATTTATAAATATGTTTATTGTGGGAAAATTTTAAACTGTTGAAAAGCATAAAGTAAAAATGTCACTCATAATTTCAACATGTAGAGAATGATTCTGGGTTTTCTGACTTGTGCCACTGGATGAATGGAAGTGGCACTTATTGAAATGGGAAGATAGGGGATGATATTTGGGGCTGGGGGCAACTAAGAGTGCAATTTTGAATATGTTAAGTTTGAGACATTTTAATACACTGTGTCAAAGCCTTCGGACTGTATGACTACAGAATTTGGAGTAAAGTTCTTGGCTAAAGAAATAAATTTGGACGTCATCAGCTTGTAGATGGTTTTTAAAACCATGGGAATGGGTGAGACCACAGAGAGGGAGGAACCTTAAGAACTGTGGCCATTAGAAGTTAGGTAGACGATGAGGAAATGGCAAAGGAGACTTGGGTGGCAGAGGGGCAGGAGGAAAAGGAGTGTTTGATCAAAAGCCAAGAGAAGTGGATATATCAAGGAAGAGGGTGTGATCAGTGCTATCAAATGCTGCTGAAGGGTCAAGCAGCATAATATCTGAAGAGTATCCACTGGATTTGGCGACCTGGAGGTGTTTGGTGACTTTAGCAAGAGGAGTTTAGTTTCAATGTGTGGTGAGGCAGGAGACCAGGCTATAGTGGGTTGAAGATAAATGGAAAGTGATAAAGTGTGTCAATGTGAATAGATAAGTCTTTCAGTAAGTCCAGAGAGGGTGTGATCAAGAGATGCTTTGTTTGCTGTTTTTTTTTTTTTTTCAAGATGGAGGAAAATGTTTTTAAGCTTCACAGAATGATGTAGTGAAGAGAGAAAAAGAAGATGCGAGAGAGAGAGAGAGAGAGAGAGAGAGAGAGAGAGAAAGGAATACCTATCATGTGAAGGTATAGGATCCAGAGCATGCTGGATTGGCTTTTTACCTGTTTTTGGAAATAATTTATAGCTTACAAAAAGTTGCAAAATAAAAATACTACAGAGAATATCTTCATATACCCTTTACCCAGATTCACTTATTGTTAACATTTTACCCCATTTGGTTATCATTTGCACTTTCTACCACTACTCCCTTCTCTATATATACCGTACATAACCACAGTGTGCTTATCAACTTCATACATGTATATTGATATTGTATGTTTATCTAATTTACCATTTATATTTCAAGCTTATCATTTGATATAATAATGTCCTTAATGGTATCTTTTTTCTTTTAGTATAGGGTTAGATTTTGAGTTTATATCTCGATAGCCTCCTTTAATCTGGACTGTTTCTGCAACCTTTTTTTTTTGTCTTTTTATAACATTGATATTTTTTAAAGAATATAACCCACCCTTCACTGTTTTATTTATGTTTTTAAAGAACATTCCTCATTTTGTGTTTGCCTGATGTTACTCTGTGATTAAGGTGAGGTTACAACTTCTTGGCCAGAATACTGTTTAAATGATATGTCTCTCAGTGTACCACATCTGGAGGTACATAATGTCCATCTGTTTCTCATAGGTGATATTAATTTTTTTTTAAGTAGAGACAGGATCTCACTATTCCCCAGGTTGGTCTTAAACTCCTGGGCTCAAGCAATCCTCCTGCCTTAGCCTCCTGAGTCTCTGGGATTGCAGGCATGAGCCACAGCACCTAGCTCCTATAGTTTTTATTAGGGTTTCTATGTGACTATTATAATCTATATAGAGTTCTATGTTCTAGAAGAAGAATTTCCCACATTCTTTGTATTGATAGGATTTCACTCCTTTAAGAGACCTCTGATATTTAGTGAGTTATGTCTGAATGAAGGTCTCCCCCATTCATTATATAGTGTTTCTCTAATATGCAACTTTTCTGATGTACCAAGTGTGACTGTTGCTCAGAGCACTTTAATATTCTTTATTCTCATGGATATTCTTCCTTATTTGTGTTTTCTGATTTTGAATTAAGGGTTTGACTTCATACTGAAGATTTTCTTTCCTTAACTAGTTCTCTGATACACAGAAAGGTGTAAATTCTGGAAGACAGATTTTCCACATTCTGTATGTGAAAAGTGAGTTCTCTGATGTAGAGTAAATGTTGACTTCCAACAGACCTTTTTCCTACATTCAGTATATTCCTAGGTTTCCTTCTCATACATATTCTCCAACATTTAGTAAGATGTGATTTCATTAAAAGGTTCTCCTACATGTATTACATTTCTATGATTTCTCTTCTATATGAGTACTTTGATGTACATTGAAGGGTAAATTCTGGCAGATTTTCCTACCTTCATTACATTCTAAAGATTGCTCTTGGGCTGAGTGCTCTGATACAAAGTCAGTGTTGATTTATGGCAAAAGAGTACTCTAGGTATGCTATTGATTCTTCCTCTATATGTTCTTTTCTTTCTGATTTTTTTTTTTTTTTTTTTTTTTGAGACAGAGTCTCGCTTTGTTGCCTAGGCTAGAGTGAGTGCTGTGGCATCAGCCTAGCTCACAGCAACCTCAAACTCCTGGCCTCAAGCAATCCTCTTGCCTCAGCCTTCCAAATAGCTGGAACTACAGGCATGTGCCACCATGCCCGGCTAATTTTTTCTATATATATTAGTTGGCCAATTAATTTCTTTCTATTTATAGTAGAGATGGGGTCTCGCTCTTGCTCAGGCTGGTTCGAACTCCTGACTCCAGTCCACCCACCTCAGCCTCCCAGAGTGCTAGGATTACAGGCGTGAGCCACTGCGCCCGGCCCTGATTTTTTTTTTTTTTAAACAGGATCTCTCCTTGTCACCCAGGCTGGAGTGCAGTGGCATGATCATAGCCCACTGCAGTCTCAAACTTCTGGGCTCAAGCCATCCTCCTGCTCTCAGCCTCCCAAATAGCTGGGACTACAAGAGTGTTCCACCATGTCTGGCTAATTTTTTAGTTTTTTGTAGAGATGGGGTCTCACTATGTTGCCCAGGCTGGTCTTGAACTCCTGGCCTCAAGCCATCCTCCTGCTTTGGCCTCCCAAAGTGCTGGGATTACAGACATGAGCCACAGTGCCTGGCCTCTTTCTGCTGTTTGAGAGAAGTTTGACTTGTGGCTGAAGATATCTCATGTGCATGAAATTTACAAAGTTTCCTCTCCTTTATGAGTTTTCTGATCCTTGAGTTTTGACTTCATGCAGAAATATTTCTCACATTTGCTGCTTGAGTTCTCTTATGTATAATGAAGACTTCCTATTATGAAACAGTTTCTAAAATTCATCATGGCCAAAGGATTGCTTCAAAACTCAAAAGTTTTCAATACTGAAAATAGTCTTCCCTTTGACTAAGGGCTTTCCAGCTTTGGTTATATGCTGGGGGACCTGCTCCAGCATGTCCTTGCATTTAATATCAAGGAACAGCTCTCTCACATCTACTTCTCAATCAAATCATTAGGATGCTTTCTTTCAGCACATCTTTTCCTAATAATTAATTTTAAAATATATTTCAAAAGGTTACCAAGTGAATTAGTCATCTGAGAAATTCGGGAGAACTATCACAGGATGGATTAATTTGAAGGAATGAGATAAAAATGTAGGTGATTTGTACTTTTTTCCAATATTACTGTGAAAGGACCCTCCTTACACAAGAGGGTCTGCAAGCTTCTAGTCTTTTTCCTCCTCCTTCCAGTCTTGGTATCAACACCACATTAACTTTCTTAAAGCATCACTTTCCTCAGGATTAAAGGAACAGATTTATAACCAGAGCACTGACTCCCATCAGCTTTAATTCATGTCCACTTGAATAGGGAGACTCAAGACCACAAACATCTAAGGGAAAGAATAAAATAGCCTAGCAAGGAATCACTGCTGAACTCTGATTCCTGCTAACATGATTTTTTTCTATTAGAATTGTTAATACTGAACCAATTTCAGACCATCAGTTCCTTCGCTCCCTATTAGTGACATGAGTCACATTTACATGGTATTTCTCTTGAAGGAAGAGGGTTCATGCACAGATTAAATGTTTTTCCAAATATATTATCTCTCCCCTTAATGTTTTGATCTTGAAGAAAAATTGAAATATTGGCCTTGGCTTCCTGGGAACTATTTATTCAGGAAATCAACTTTTCCAGAGTTGTTCTGGATAGCAGTGACATGGGAATTCTCTTTCTGCTATCCATAACTCTTCTTCCTTCAAGACAGGGCTCCCTCACACCACTCTACAGGATTCTCTATACAGGGCCCAGTTGCTGCCCAGCTTCCTGGGTGGGGTCCACACTTGCATAGCTGGACTGACCCTGACTCAACTGCTTTTAGGAAAGGGCAGAGTCCTAAAGCTGGACATGTTTCACTTTTAGCTTGGGACAGTACCTATACCTGGATGCCCAGGTCCTGCCTCCCAGGGGCTTCTAATCTGTGGGTCATTTCTGTAGAGGTTTCTTGTGAAAATTAACAGTGAAAAGTTAAATCAATGCTATTAGAAATAACGGTAGAATGTCTGGGAGAAAAGTACATGCTGAGAGAATTTGAGGGCAGCCAGAATGAGTAGCAGAAAGGTACTAATGACATTTTTTAATTGCCTGCAACCTTAACAAGTGAATATAAGCAAAAACTGTTTAGGTAGCCAGGAACAAGGAAATATATGAATGGGAGAAAAAAAATCAAGCCATTTGTTAAAGGAAGCAGCAGATCACTGTTGTTTCTAATATACAGTATTGCCACCTCTTTCATAGGATTTTATTATAATCCTTGTTCTCTGTGATGCATTTCATAACTTCTCTAAGTATATAGAACAAAAGAAGTTTGCAGCTAGAGGAGACCCAGAAAACAGTCATCTGTACCCTTTTTAAAATGAAGAACCTGGCCTCCAGAGAGGAATAATAAAATAATAAATACCTGGCATTTGT